AAGTGGTTTGTAAATTCCCTTTGAGAATCAGGCCTGAGAGACTGGAGACAGGTGGTGTCTGTTCTTGTCTTTGATAGATTTTTGATGTGTACTCATTCTGGTGCACAGTTGTTGCTTGGTGTCTCCACATATTTTCCATCAGGTCACTTGGTGCCCTGATGGAGATATGTATTGCACGGTGAAGATCGCTCCATACTGGAGATACTCCGGGCAGGTTTTGTGCGTCTTGCCATGGCATAGCCTGGATCCATTCAGTGTGTTTTGGGCTGTAGGAAGTTGGCTTCTGATGATGAGGTTAGCGAGGTTCAGTGCTTGTTTGAATTTACAAACCACTTTTCACAGATGAGCCTATGAACTGCACTTCATCAGCCTCTGAGGTAGTAGGCACTCATGGACTCAATATAGACAGTGGAATTCTGACACGCTACAATCTGCCGGACATCTGACTCCCCAGGTACCTCTCCACTTTTACTTGCTACATCCCCTTTCCTCCCCAGCCTGTCCCTCACCCCCTGATGCCTCCATTTCTATTTTTACTGAACGGCTTTATTGCCTGCATTGCATGCCAGCCTCTAGCTTCTTTACTATTCCTTCCATGCAGGAACAGCACACACTCCAACTGCAGATGCTTCCTCAGCCTGATGAAGGGCACTGACCCCCTCTCCTTGTTGCCTGTACTAGTGGAAGCTTCATGCCTGCTTGTTGTAGCAAAGAGGCTGTGTCTCTGTTTGGGGGGTTGGGGAACTTACACCTCTCCCTCCACCCCATCTTCTGCTCCTCCCTGAGGGCTTCCCAGCTTCCTTTCCAGCACACTTCATGGTGTGTTTCGTAGTGTCTTGTCTTTATGAAAATATATAGATGTATATATGTGTTTTTCTATAGAAATTCTATATTATAATATGCAATATAATTATGAAATTGAAAAGAATCAATCAATTAATATAATAATAAAATAAAAGGGTATAGAAAGAAAGCAAAAGGTATTGCAGAATCACACTTGCTAGGCTAGCAAGTAGGAAATCAATGATAGTAGCCTTTGTTGTCTAACACTGCTGAGCTTCTGAAAGATAGCTCAGTAACTGACCCCAAGGCAGAAAGCAGGCCAGCTCAAACAATGCTGCCTTTTATGCTGTTTTTCCATGCCGCCCCTAGAGCACTGGGATTGGAAGGGACCTCAGGGAAGGATCTCAGTCACTGGCCAGCTACACAGTCAATATCAGAGCAGTTCTTCCCCCCCTCCCCCCTCCCGTCTCCTTACTTTCTGTTTCCCTGCAGGCAAACCCAGCTTCAGCTTTAAAACTCGAAACATTTCAAAAATTTTTAAACGTTTCGACTTCCCTCGTTTCATTTTCAGGCTGTTTCAAAGCCCTTCATTTCATTTCAATTTCACTGTTTCGAGTTCAAAACAAGTCAAAGCAACATCAAAACAAAACAGCCGGCAAAATTTTGCACAGCCCTAATGAAGTGTACCTCATCAGCAGGGGGAGCAGAGAGGAGAAGAAGAGTGCCACAATTTGACACTGGAAGGTTTCCAGATTGCATTTACTTGTCCCAAAACCCCCCAAAATATTCCAGGACAGAGCCCTGGACACACGGTGAGTCTGAAGATATAAACCCTTTAACAGACGCAGGCTTCACTTTGGAACCTCTGCACATTTGGGAGAAGGGGTAGGGGGAAAAAAACTCTGGAATCTCTGATGGCAGTAAGGAGTGGCTTTTTTCTGGGCAGTGGGAAAAGTAGTCATCTGGCAAGAGAGAAAGGAGACTTGGAAAGCCAGAACCAGCTATGTAACTGGGAATGCTAGAAATCTCTGCAGGTCTCTCTAAGACATATCTCACTGCCTTAGGGTATGCACAAATGTTCACTGCACCTGGTTACAATCATATGGCTTACTTTAAGCTGCAGCATTGTAGACTGGGAACAGCATGTACAAAGATTTGCTGGTGCTGGAAGCCACAGGGAGAACCCAATGTAAGTAACTTGGGGTAGGGGAGGGATGGGCAGGCAGGGGTCTGGAGTCAGTTGGCTGGTCTGAGGTTGGGGAATTTGGGCACTAAAAATAGCTTGGTTAGGGTTGGGAGAGTAGGAAGAGCACAGCTATGGGGCTGGGGTGAAACGCTGGGCTTTCCTAGCCCCAAGTCTGTGCTCTGAACCTGTGCAGACGTTCACTGGATAAGGTTAACCCATTCCTGATCTAAGTTAATTCACCTACTCAGGTGAACTAACTTAGCTCAGGCCTGCCATTTTTGGCCCAATTTAAACCCCTCCAAATGTCTGTACAAATGGGCATTTAGATCAACCTAACCCTAGTGAGGTCAATCTAAATATGACACCTGCATGTACCCTGAGAAATCTTTTGCATCAGTCTTTATCACATGTATCTATGTTTTCTTACTTACTACAGCTACAACTATCTTGAATTTTCTAATATGCCTGTGAATTCACTCAACTTCACCTGTAAAAGAATACCAAACCCTCTGCCCTAAGACAGTTCTTAGGAATGAGTGGGTGTGTCTACATGTGGGCATTTAATGTGCATTAGCCCATTTTAAGGTACATTAAGGGCACGCATCTACATGTGCGCACTCTTAATGCACCTTAAAATTGTCAAATGTAAGCATGATTTGTTAAAGTGCATTAACACACATGTAGACACGTTAATGAGCATTAACACAGGGATTTTAGTGCTGGGTGTACCCAGCCACTAAGGAGCCAGCCAAAGTCCAGCCGCCGGGCTCCTGGCTAGCTGCCTCTCCTCCTCCGGGCCTGGGCTGCTCTCTGGCAGCCCCTAGCTGCAAGCTATAAAAGGCTCCAGCCATTTTGTGCCTTGGGAGCCACAGCACAGGGAACCTGAAGTAGCCAGTGCTGTCTGCAGGAGTCCACCAGGCCCCATGTTCCCCCTGGACAGGACCCAGGCAACTTCTGCCTGTCAGATGAGTGTTGCAAAGGGCTGCAGCCTGCTCCATTCCTTGCCAAGCCCTGAGATTCCCCTCATAGTTTCATAGTTTCATAGATTAAGGGTCGGAAGGGACCTAGTAGATCTTCTAGCCCGACCCCCCACCAGGGCAGGAGAACAACAAAACCCCAAAACAAGAAACGGGACTCAAATGAGTCCAGCCAGGTAGGCATCCAGCCTCTTCTTAAAGACCCCCAGGGTAGGGGCCAGCACCACTTCCCTTGGAAGTTGGTTCCAGCTCCTAGCCGCCCTAACTGTGAAGTAGTTTTTGCGGATGTCCAATCTATACCTCCTCTCCATCAACTTGTGCCCATTACTCCTTGTTATGCCAGCGGGCGCTAGGGGAAACAGCGTCTCCCCCAAACCCTTCTGGTCCCCCCTAGTGAGTTTATAGACGGTCACCAGGTCCCCCCTCAGCCTTCTCTTGTGGAGGCTGAATAGGTTCAGGTCCCGCAGTCTCTCACTGTAGGGTCTGCCCTGTTGTCCCCGGATCATGCGGGTGGCCCTCCTCTGGACCCTCTCCATGTTGTCCACATCCCTCTTGAAATGGGGCGCACAGAACTGGACACAATACTCCAGCTGTGGCCTGACCAGCGTCGCGTAGAGGGGGAGGATCACCTTCTTGGCTCTACTCAAGATGCACCTGTGGATGCATGACAAGGTCCGGTTAGCCCTGCCAACCATGACCTCGCATTGTCGGCCCATGTTCATCTTGGAGTCAATAATGACTCCAAGATCTCTTTCTGCCTCCGTGCTCTCAAGTAGGGAGTTCCCCATTGTGTAAGTGTGCTGCTGGTTCCTACTGCCCAAGTGCAGCACCCTGCACTTGTCCGTATTGAAACGCATCCTGTTCCTGTTAGCCCACCCCTGTAACCTATCCAGATCCCTCTGCAATCTCTCCCTCCCTGCTAGCGTGCTCACCTCCCCCCAAATTTTGGTGTCATCAGCAAATTTAAACAGGTTACTTTCCACCCCATCATCCAGATCGCTATGGAAACAGGGCCAGCACCTGCTCCCTGCTGCTCTTCGCCCCCAGCTTTGTCTCTTTGCAGGCACTGTGGTGAAGTTTCTCTGCTGTGTGGCTCAAAGTCCCTGCCTGTGTTCCTGTCCTGGGTGCTGCTGACTGCCCTCCAGGGCCAGCATTGCAGGGACAGACATGCAAGGACCCAGGGAGCCGGTGCAGGGAGCATGTCCAGCATGTAGTTCCCACTGAGCCCTGGCTTTGCCCATGTGCTCACACCTATGCCAAGTGCCCAGGCCTTGTGGTGCTCTGGGATGGAGCCAACATCCAGAGGCAGTTCACATGGAGTGGGTGCTTGAATGCAAGGACAGTGGGTGGCTGTGACTGAATTCAATCATCAGTACAGTCATGCCCAAAAGACCATGACCTTCATGCAGGAGCTGACCTGCATTTTGGGACCCTGGGAGGCAGGCTGCACCTGTGCAAGTATCACCAGCAGGGTCAGCCTGCCCTCATCTGCACCCTGCCCTGACACCTCCAGTGTCACTGGAGGAGGGGACCTCAGGCCTTCAGCACTCCACCCCACCCACCTCCCTGGCTGCTGAATCCACTAGCAGCTTGGGAGCCCTGCCCAGCAGCTGCCTTGCCCATGGACAGCCCCACTCCCTGCCATAAGAAGAGGCAGGCCACGCCACTGCCAGCCACCAGTTCCTCCCCGGAGTGGAGGACAGGAGAAGGGGGCCCTGGCCAGGTGCCAGCCTGCCACACACTGCAGACCATGGACACCAGATGCAGCTGGACACTGTTGCTGATGGGGAGCCCAGCACTGAGCTGCCAGCCTTGCCAGCCCTGGACACATGGTACGTCCTGCACTGGAGGAGGGTAGGGGTTATGAGGGGAATAAAGGTTTCCATAGAAAACATGTACACATCTTGGAGTGGTGCTGGGGAGTGGGTAGGGGGTGTGTGGGCAGCGGGGCAGATGGATGTCATTGTGATGGCCAGGTGCACCTCCTTGTCCTGGTACTCTAGGTGGGGCCAGAGCTGGCACAGGAGGTCTTCAAAGGTGCCCTGGGTCAGAGTGCTGAAACTGGCTGACGTCATCACACAGCCAATGGCAAAACTATCCGAGAACTCATGGCACTTGGGTGAGGTCCCAGAAGACTGGAAGGGGGCCAATGCAGTGCCTATCTTCAAGAAACAAAGGAAGGAGAACTCAGGGAAGTATAGACCAATCAGTCTGACCTCAATCCTGGAAAAATCATGAAAAAAATTATCAAAGAATCTATCAGTGATAGGCTAACAGAAGGCAGTATTCTAAAAGATAGCCAACATGACTTTAATGGGTCATGCCTGCCCAACCTCATCTCCTTCTATGATCAGGTAACTTGCCACCTGGATAAGGGAGATGAGGTCGACGTCATATACTTGGATTTCAAAAAGGCCTTTGACTTGGTCACTCATGGTTAAATTGAGGAATTGTGGCCTCAACAACTTAATGGTTTGGTGGCTGGGAAACTGGCTCCAAGGTCAGATCCAGAGAGATGAACCCAGGTTGACATGGTGAAAGGTGACAAATGGTGTCCCTCAAGGCTTGGTACTCAGACTAGTGCTTTTCAACATTTTCATCAACTATTTGGATATGGATGTGAAAAGTGTACTGGCAAAGTTCGCACATGACACCAAATTATGGGGGAGTGCGGTCACACCGGACGACATGGTGAGGATACAGGCTGACCTGGACAGGCTTGTAAAGTGGGCAGATCTAAACCTGATGATATTTAACACTGAGAAATGTAAAGTGGTCAGTCTGGGGAGAAATAATCCACAACATACTTACAGGCTCGGTGGTGCTACACTAGCCAGCACCACAACTGAAAGAGACCTTGGGCTCACAATCAACCATAAAATTGAACATGAGCCACCCGTGCAATGCTATAGCTGGCAAAAAGAACAACACTCTGGCATGCATCAACTGATGCATCACAAGCAAGACTAAGGTTGTCATCCTCCTACTCTACTCAGCATTGGTAAAACTGCAGCTGAAGTACTGCATCCAGTTCTGGGTGCCACAGTTCAAGAGGGATGTGGAGTAGCTGGAAAGAGTCCAAAGGGGGGTCATACAAATGATTAGAGGTCTGGAAAACAGACCATACAAGGAGAGGCTGAAGAACATGGGACTGTTCAGCCTGGAAAAGAGAAGACTCAGGGGGGACTTGGTGGCAGCCTTTAAGTATATAAGGGGCAAACATCAGGGACTAGAACATCTGTTCACCAAGGCACCCCAGGGCAAGACTAGGAATAAGGGTTGTCATGGGACGGGGTCCCGTGCATAGATGACCTTCATGGATGATCTGGTTTACATAAGAAATAAAATTATCTTAACAGGTATTTCCCTCAAATTTTGTACTCCCTGTTATACTGCACCAAATGCCAAGCGGCTCAAATACATCACCAACAATGAAATATTTTGGCATTGGTGTACATTTTTGGCATGGGTGCACATTTTTAGATGATGCAAATTTGTATTTTAAGTCTATATTACTCAAGCTTTTCCCTTATATATCATTTGCTTATAAATAACGTTCCTTGGATCTGCAGCAGTAAGAATACAAGCTGTAGAAAAGATATTACATATTTTTCATCACTATAAAGTATTCTGTTCTGGATTCAGAGGGTCTTTTTCTGTAGAGGAAGGAAAGTTATGTGCCTAGACCAAGATTTTCATAGGTGATTATTGATAACACATACCTCCATTTTTGTAGCCTGGTGTGGGGCACCTTAAAGAGGTCCCTTATTTTAGGTTGCTCAGCACTTTCTGAAACACACAGACATCTCCGGACTTGACTATACGTCATGACCTTTAGACTATACGAAGGATCACCTTAAGTGAAGCACAACATGACCATTCAGTGCTATCTACAGCCTGAAAGGGATGTAATGTAACCATTTTAGACTGATATGTTTGTGTGTTAATAAGCTCATGCTCTCAGGTATGCTTTATTGGCACTCACCTAACACCACACTAAGGTGCCTGTATTACATCCACTCGGAGCTGTAGCACATATGAAAAGATGTATTATGCTTCATTGTGGAGCTCCCTTACACAGTCAAGAGGGACCCAACCCCCCCACCCCTCACCAGTTACTTTTTGAGAATCTTGCCTCCTGATCCTGACTTCTTTGGTGGGGTTGTGTCCAGGGAAAACAAGCTGAGTGAATGGGATGTTGCAGGTAGAACTGGGAAGTTTCATAGATTTCATAGATTTCATAGACATTAGGGCTGGAAGGGACCTCGGAAGATCATCGAGTCCAGCCCCCCCGCCCAAAGGGCAGGAAGTCAGCTGGGGCCGTAGGATCCCAAAAGTTATTGGAGGACTGTGGGAATAGAACAGTCCTATTACTCTGTGGTAAGTCAGAGAGACTCCTTGGGAAAACAAAGTAGGCATGATCTGAATTTGTAACAAAGCAAGTAAAAGAACACACTGCCTTCCTGTTTATCTCATTAAGAAACTAAAATATCAAAAAAACCCAAAACAAAAAAACCACCAATAAACAAGCAAACATATACTTGCTTTTTGATTATCCAGGCTTTTTAAAAGTACTTAGCTAGTAGTAGATGTGGATTTTCCTTTTTGTGATAGTGATAAATCCTGATGATGAGGAGGAGGATGATACTGAAAATGATAAGGCAACGTTTCTGCTACATCTTGTTTCAAATTAGTTTTTAATCTCTGGGGTTGGGGCTTTGCATTGCCCCTATATAAGAAGGCCATATGCTACCCTAAATGAAGGAATAATACTTTTTTTCTATTCCTAGGTCATCATTTCTGTTATTAGATATGGGAACAATTTTACCAACACATTTATCCAGGTACCTAGCAAAATTAATTATTTTGCAAGCTCTGGGTTTTGTAGCCTTCAGCCTATATCCCCTGCAAGTTCAAACAGTAGTAATATGATGTCAGAATTTAGAATCGTTTTCTGCATGGCCTTTTTGACATAATGTTCTTGGAAATGTCAGCATTGAATTGAAACTCACAAAGGTTAAATTACCAAGAAAGCTAATATCAGTGTGATCAGTTGGACAAAATCATAGCCAATGAACACATCTCCATTTTGTTTTTTGAATAAATAAATAAATGAATAAATAAATATCATTCAAAAGTTGACTTGACCTTTCAGATTGAATTTTTTAAACTTATATCCAGACTTGGCAACAGTTTTTTCTTTGTTCTTTGTAAAACTTTGTTATGAAGAATTATTCTTATCCACAGTCAAAAGAGACTAACATATATGCTCTAATAACAATTATGTAGCACAGAGTAATAGACCTATTGTTTATTCAAATAAATGAGGCTGGTAATTTATCAATGTATGCCTAGTAATGTTTTGTTTGCCCTTTTTTTTATATCTTCAAATACAGCAATCTTTTCAACAAAGCTGGGGCTTTCATGTTTGCAAAGGTTTGCAGAAAAGTATCTACCAGAATAATTTACATTCACTGAATTCAGTTTTCCTGACTAGTATTTTCATAAGATGCAAACAAATACACTAACTCCACTGATTTCCTAGGATGTGAACAAGAGTCAGATTCATTAAGAAATGTCATGGGTAACAGAATGATGTCATGTAGGATGTACAGTTTAAAGTTCTGAGACATGCTTGTTAGGAAAATGTTGGCTTAATCAACTAAGATGGCAGCAGGAGCTTTTGTAGTCTTCTGTCTAAATATGCCTTTAACTGGCATTCAGCAACCATGACCACTTTCTTCTCTGAACTGGCTCTTGGTCTTGTATCCCCAGCTGTGCCATCTGAAACTTTAAAATTGATTTACTTCCCAAGAAACAAGAAGAAGCATCACAAACTCCACGTTCACAGAAAGCAGCACTAGAGGAGGGCATGGCACTTGGGAGATTTGGCCCTGATACCAAGGTACATCTACTGTGCCGTTTGTTGATTTTGGTTATTCAAGAATGTCTCTAGAGGTAGTATCATGAGAAAAACAGCAGGAACATTTCCTCTCTACCTTAGTCTCTGCCTAAGGGTCAGTTCTGAAGCAAATTTATTCCTGAGATTTGTTGTTGGGCTGAGATTCATGAAAGAAGGGATTGACTACATGCTGTTTCACCATCTCATTTCAGAGCCGGTTCGGGTATGCAAGTTATTGTTAGAGTATATATTATTCTGATTCTGTTTTACTCATTTTTCCTCAACTTGCCAACCTGCCGGTACTGACATCTGCTAGGGCAAAGCATAGCGATGTCAAAAAGGGTAACACTATTCACATTTAAAAGGCTATCCTAGCTTCAATATCATATCTGTATCTAGACACAACCAGTAATTTGTGACAAGCTAGAATTGCAACCAAAAGCAATCTTACAGTGCCTCCCATGAGGGGTTTTATGGAATACCACAGACTCCTAGACAGGATCAGCAACAGGATTACAAAGATCACATATCTAATGATCCTACTATAGTGAACATTTTTCATCTAGATGTAGGTTGCTTCCTGGAGATTTCAATGATGAACTGTTATCATGAGCTTTGCAGCCATTGGATTTTAGCTGAATAAAAATGTCAGAACATTCCGCTGGAAATTTTGCTTCCTCCAAGTGAATATGAATAGGAACAGGTAGCATGGGGTATGTTATGACCTTGGATAAGCTACACCTTTCTTCAATGTTCCAATATCAGTTGAACAGACTGAAAAGGTGGGGGTTTTAAAAAGTACATCCAAACTCATGGCAATAGATCATTTTAATACACTTCTTTATTTACGAAATTAAATCATTAAAAAAAGAATCTCTGTTTCCATCTGAAGCACAGTGAGTGCTACATTGTACTAATACATGGGAATCAGGAACTGAAATTGGCTACAAACTCCATAGACAAGTGTTTCCCAAACTTTTCCTCAGCCCAACCCTATTTATGGTCCCATTTCCTCAGCATGACCCCATTTCCTCTGCTGATGTTGCACCCCATTTGGGATCACAACCAAAGTTTGGGAACGGCTGCCATAGAGACACAAATGAAATGAAAATGGACTTTTAATTTCAATGTCCAAACCAAGACCCTATTGGGCAACAAGCAGCATATTGGTAGAATGTTGCAGGCTCAGAGACAAACAAGCAGAAAGAAAAGCAAGCAGCATCAGGGGGAGAAGTGGGCAGCGGAGTCCCCCAGGGCTCAGTCCTTGGGCCCGCACTGTTCAATTTCTTTATCAGCGATTTGGACGACGGGGTGGAAAGCAACCTGTTTAAATTTGCTGATGATACCAAAATTTGGGGTGTGGTGAGCACACTAGTAGGGAGGGAAAGACTGCAGCAAGACCTGGA